CTCTGCTACTTTTTGCCCTTCCCACAAATCATCCTCATCCTCATCCGCATCCTCATCATCATCCTAATGCTGAATCCATAATTTCTATGGGTAACTCTCATGTGCTTTCCTTGAGATAATTAAAAATAGCTTCTCAAAACCATCCAAAGAATGTGATGCTTCCCTAAATTCTTTTAGATATCTGGGTATGTCTTCTTCCTTTCCTCTTTTCCCCGTCCTACCTGGTTTTCTCTTTTTCCCCAACAGTCCATCACCCACCCTTTTGTGCCCCCTGAGTCTTGTAGTCCTCACTGGGTCTCCCATACCTTTTCTCCCCCAAGGGATGTATGTGTGAAAGAGAGTATTTCTGCAAACTGGATAATCACAGGATTCTTTGGAGTTCTGCCCATTTGGCCACACACATGTAAACACTCTCCCCTCAAACTGGAAATAAAAAACAACATTTTGAAGCTTATTGAGTTGCATTGCATCAGATAAAAATGGCATTTTTAATTGCATTTCACACTTGATTTTTTTTACTAGTCCACAAAACAATCCAAAGATCCCACACTTCCGTAATGCTAACAAAGAAAATGAATAAATGCAATCAAGATCATCATACACTGAAAACCTATCATATTGGAATCCTAGCTGAAACAACTGAGAAAAACCAAAAGTATGAATTAGTTTCTCATCTGAATTATCTCCTGTGAAAGAATTGTCAGGTGAATGGCAATGTAGTTACCATCTGTAGTCACCTTTAAAAATTCTCTGTTAGGCACCGAAGCTCACTGTTATCCTTATTCAATATCCTTTCATATTCAATCTAATCAGTTTAATTAATCAGTCAGCTGCATTACAGGCAAGAGAGTTTATTGACCAAGAATTAATAGCCTCACCACCCTGTTAGTGACACTGAAACACTCCCAATGCAACCGTCGGCTTTGGTGACTCCGCACCATGGCCTGAGTCATGTTACCTGAACAGTGTGGGACTCACTGCAGCGTGACTGCCTCCCACGCCGTTTCACTAACATTTCAAGGAAAGCAATAATGTAAGTGGCCAAATTATGGTGGTGTTTCCATGCCAGAGGTACCACAGTGGGCTGTGCCCAGGCCAACCGGTCCCCCAACGCTCAGCTTATTTCCTTTCAAACACTATTGTATCATTTAGGAAGCCTAACTTGCACTGACCTGAAAAATATATGAATTGCGTTTTGATGTCTTTTGTACTTAGACAGGCAACAAGAAAATGTGTCCTGCCTCAACATGTATTCAAATTTTTCTTCAGCAGTGCAATAGTTTCCTTTGAAATGCCGGGCTCCAAAGAGCTATGGCAAGCACAGTGAGATTTTTTTTTTTTTTTTGCACACTTTTGTTACCTCTGTTTTCAAACTCCTTCTGCAGCCAATATTTATTGCTTTATTATTACATGTCGATTCTGCTTTTCTCCCCTTCTGCAAAGTGTCCAAGCAGCCCACCTGGTCCTCTTCTGCTCCATACGATTCTAACAATTCTGTGGGGCAAGGCAGCAGCTGGGCCAAAGTCCCTAGTGAGCTTCATGGCTCAGTGGGGACTAGAACTACTTTGTTTTCAAAGTGCCGTTTCCCTGTGCCCCTCACCTTTCAGAGTCCTTTAGCTGCATTTCTGGATGACACAAGAGCACTTTGTCAACAGTATTCATTAGCATAGGTTCCAACAGTGGTAAAAACATTTTGCATAAATACCACAACAGAGCTCCCTGTTCAACTGAAGGGAGTTTAGTACAGATCTGCCCCAGACTATAGTCTGGTACCTTTGTATCCTGGGACAACATGGGAACCATGAAGAAACAGAAAAGCTTCTTGACCACTCATGAGGCCTAAAGGGTGTGTGTGTGCACACTCTCTGAACACTTGAACTCCTAAGGCATCTGTTGCAAAGGTTATGGCACCAGGGGCATGGCTTGTGGCACTTAAAAGATCCAAATGGGACCAAAATCCACATCTTTCTGTAAGAGTGTGTCCAGTTTTGTGTTTCACAGGAGGCTAAACCAACTACACAGTGAATTTCTTATCAGATAAAATATTCAGATCACCCCAAAGCATGGGAGACTTTTTGGTGTGCTTGCTTGCTTGCTTTGTAAACCTCAGTTGCCAAGCAGGGAGATGTTTTTTCAGGGAGGGGTCATTGCAGCATATGAAAATAGAGAGTTAATCTTTCCTCCGCAATGGCAGGCCTTCTGGAAAATTGCCTTCTGCATGACCAACTCACTTGGTGAGGAGAAAACTTTCTATTACTATCAATGGACACTCAAGACTCTGTGGGATGGATCTAGGACCTTGAGAAATAGAGTTGGTGCTGGGGTCCTATAGAGATCCATAGATTTTTCAAAAAATTGTTTTGCGGAGTATTTCATTCCATTTATCCACTCATTCATGGAAAGTGTTGGCAACCATGTATTTGTGCAAATGCATATAAACATTATGCATTAGTGCCAATGTACACTTGTATGAACAAAACTGCGCAAAACTTCATGAGACTTGGGGGGAAAAAGCAGTCTGCTACAACATCCACAGAAATTCACGGAAATCCAAATGCATGTAACTCTATTGTAGATTTCGCCAACATCTGCAGGCCAAACAACACTTCTGCATGGCATTCACCTGCCCTCACTCCCCAGGCTCATTCTTTTCATAGCCCCTCTCCACCACTTACTGCTTTCTTTCTCCTATTTCTTCTGGAATTGCTGCTTCCTCATGCAGATGGCAACCACGGCCCATGTTCTTTACCTTGCTTGGTCCTTCAGGCTATTTGCCCTCCTCCAAATCTAATCCACATGACCTTGTCCTGTATTGTAAGCAAACCGAAGTGCATGTAGTTGAAGTAATTACAAATTCTTCCTCTGCCTTCTCATGCCTCCATTTTTTCCTCTGTTGTTTCCCTGTTTCTATTTTAGATTGCAGGTCCCTTGGGATAAGACCTTCTGTACCTGTTCTCTATAAAGCATCATGTGTACAGATGGCACTAAATAACTAAAGATGTGCAGTGCCCGGCATACCTAGAGTAGTTTCTTGGTTATGGAACAGCATGATGGAATACCGGGGTATTTACGAATATGGGTTTTCTGACTCTCACAAGCCAGATCTGTGAAAGGCCAGGCACCTCCTGAAAAGGGCCTGCATCTCACACCTAAGGGTACATGTGTGGTCCTATTGCCATCTCTGTCTGGATGAAGGGAAAAGTGGGTGTTTGATCAAGTGCTCATGTCTCTTTGGCAAATCTGGGTCATTTTTGGTGGAGGAGGACTTGTGCTTAAAGGCAAGCATTATCCCAGGGTAACATCAATAATAATGATTCTGGCGGAGTTATAAAAATATCGTATCAATGCATCTGGTCCTGGTAACTATAAAGGGCTGCTGTTTTGTAATGTAATAAGAAACATAATTTTAAGGTGGGACTTAGTATTTCAAAAGAGGGCTTGTAAGTTCATATTAGCCATCTCTTTCAGAATTGGGAGTCTTAAAAACTGGAGACTCTGTTGTTCCAAAGACGTTGTAGACTGGATAAACTGAAGCCTGAGCTATGCAGAGAGAATTTAGAAATGTTGCGAATGGCTTGCCAAAATATGCAATGATGTGCTCTTTAGTTCAGAGCCAGTCACTTGGAAACATGGCCAAGCAAACATTTTACGTCTCTGCCATACATTTCTCTTGCATAAGGTCAATCTAGGATAGCCTCCATGTATTATCTACAATAAACAGTGTGAAAACAATAAAAGAATTACACAGCAATGAGTTTGGGGCAATTGAACTGCCTTGTCTGGGGGTCCACCTTTCACTCTCCCATTCAGAGCAGAGCTGGATTAACCCTTTGGGGGCCTTTGTTTAATTACCAGGGAGATGTGATGGAAATAATCTTCATTCTACTTTAAAACTCCTTGCAGCTTGGCAGAACTTGGCAGCAAATGTGTGTTTCCTACCAGAAGTAACCTAAGACAGAACAGGGCCAATCATACACATCGATGATCTGACAGTCAGGCATACCTCATAAATGGGTGGGAAACAGATGCTCTTCTGACAAAACCAAAATGGACAGAAATAGACAGTCCTGGTGATTTTGAATGTGGTTTATATGGCAAGCAAATGAAAATAAGGATGCCCCAAAACCGCTGACAAAACACTGATTTATGAAACACATGGAAGAAATTCAACCACAGGAGGAAACAGACTTTTTAAAACGATGCAAGGAATTCACTGATAGGAACACAGAGTAGAAGACACTGTCCAGTTAGCAGATATTGGATGGCTGGATATGTTATGGTTCGTGCGTTTTCATAATTTTAAAGTCCTGCATGGCTATAAGAGGTGGAAATGCCTTTCCTTTTCGGATCAAAAGTCTTATCACCCTCTATCCAAGAACAGCCGGTCAGGTCTGCCATCTCTCCGGCAAACTTCATGTGCTTTTCACTGCTGTGTGATAGCCCATGGAGCTTCGCCCCTCGGTGCTAGAAGGACCGCACCGTGCAATGGCTGGCTGTCCCTCATTTAGAAGCACGGGGAGCTTTGCCGTGCGTGCGAATTGTTGCAATCCTATCAGGCTGTGGGAAACCCTGCAGCAGCGCCTCATGGAGACTGCAGTCGCCCCTTGCTCTTTGCTTTCTCTGCTTCTCCCTCGCCCCGCGGCTTCTCCTGTCCCCGCGGCTTCTCCCTGGCTCGCAGGAAAGCCTCGATCCAAAGGCAGCCCGCTCTGCGCACGGATCTGAGCAAAGCGCCAGCGTCGGCGCCGCTCCCTCGCGGCGCTCCTTCGCCACTCCTGCGCAATGGAAAGAAAGGAAAGGGCGAGCAGCTCCGGCGGCCAATTGCCGTGCTGGGAGGAGGGGCCCGAGCAGGGGATTGCCCGCCTCCCAGCTGGGACGCCCCACAAGCCAGCGAGGGAGGGATGGAGGCTGGTCGCTGCCCGCCGCTCGCGTCCCTTCCCCCTGGCGGCGGTGGCGGCGATGTGGCTGCAGCAGCGCCTGCCCTCGCCGAGCCGCCCGCGGACCGTGCGCCGAGCGCGCTTCTTCCCGCCTCCCCGGAGCTGCTGGAGTTCGACGACGACGAGGACCTGGAAGTGTTCAGCAAGGTACACTGGGGCGGCGGGGGCGGATCCCTCTCCCCGCTGCGCCCGGGGAGCCTGGCAGCCCTCGGCGTGGCCGTCGAGGCTGCTGAAGACGGGCGGGGAACGCCCCCGGCACAACCGCGGGGCAGCCGAGCTCCTCGCCGCGCCTCTGCGCGCCGGCCAGAGCCCGTCCCCTCTCCTGCTGGCCTTTGGTCTTGAGCTGCCCGGGAAGGGAGGAGGAGGACGAGGGCGAAGGGTGTGAGGACTGGGGAGGAGAGGCTACGCTCGCTTTCGCAGCGCGGCGAAGAAAACGTGGTGGGGACAAAAGGGGGTGACTGGCCCCTGCCCTGAAAGTGCTGCGGGAGGTCCTGCCTCTGCCCGCTGCGCGGAACAGAAGTCGGCGAAGTCCTTTTCGGAAAGCTGGGCGTTCCGGCGCCCCGCTTCCTTCTCTTCCCTCCCCAGAAGAGCCGCCTTGAGTTGCGAGTAGGAGAGCGGGATAGGCTTTCCTTGCGCTGACGCCCCTCAGATGGGATTTGGGACTGTGAGGCCCATCATCCCCAGCCAGCGCGGGCGTCGAAGTTCTAAACAAAACCGCTAGAAGACTGGGGCTTCCCCCGCACGTAGGAACTGCCTTCAGTGGATTTGGAGTGAGGGGGCAAAGCAAACGCCAAACCACTTTCCTGCCCCCCCACACACACCCTTTCCCCTCTGGTTACAGTTCATATGCTTGTCCACAGGCTAGGAGAGTGGGGAGACCTTGGCTCCCCATCCATGGCTCAAGACTGAAAGTGCTTTGCACTTGCCAGAGAGGAATGGATTCTGCAGTAAGCCCCTGCCTTCCATCACGACTGATGGGACTGGCACCATCCTGTCAGAACCCCTTTGTGGCAAACCGCTGAAGAGGTGAGGGTGCATGTGTGGTCTTGCAAAGTTTAGGGATCGTGTGGGGGGCCAGAACCTTGCAAGCAGATTCTCTCTTATCTTACTCTCTCTTATCACCCTCTTTTGTAAGGACTCAGGAGTGCCACAGATTTGGTCATTCTGTTTCATCCTGTGCAGTGAGGCAGGGGAGGCGAAGAGATGGCTTCCTAGCTCAGGGAGTTTGGCAAGCTGAATCTGAGCCCACCTCTTCCTATTCCAGGTCCAGTGTTCTCCATGGCTCCAAATGTCGTAGCAGGAGAAGCAGGATGCTGCAGCTTGTCTTGGCTCTCTAGCGAGTTCTCATTGGTGGTTCCCCTTTCCTGAGTCCATTTTGCAGCAGGGAAACTTGGGAAGGTTTGTCTCATCCTGCATTGACGTTTGGGCAGGCAAAGCTGTGATGAGGTGTCTCCTGCGCCTCCTGAGCTATGGAATGCCATCTGGAAACACCTGCCTGCCCTGCCCTCCCTCCCTCCCTCCACCAGCTTGGAGTGGAATGAACTGTTTCCTCATGTCATGCTAGGCTTTGGAGGAGGCAGATGTGGCTGCCCCAAAGCCCAGTGCAGTGCGAACCTTTCCCCCTGCCAGTCTGGACTTGCATGCTCTTCTGAGACAAGTGGATCTGGGGAGACCTCAGAGAGACATTTCTGTGTGTGACATTTACTTTGGCCCCAGCCCTGCTTTTCTAAAGGCCCGACTTCATTTTTTGTGAGGTGCACAACTTGCAGCCTTTCAAATACTTTTGCCTATAACTGCCATGTAGCCATTGGTGAGGGATCATGGGAGTTTTAGGCCAAAACATCTGAAGAATCACAGGTTGCCTCTTTATGTTGCTGGTCAGCAACTGTGTTGCTCAGTGTGAGAAGCCAAACTGAATGTGACACACTTTTACTCTCCTCTTTCCCTCATTGCTGTTTGCAGCTAAGGCTGGAGATGGAGCTGCAGCCTTTCCTTGACAGGACAGAGAGCTTCAGGGGTGGGCAACTGTCCTCTTCTGTCCAAAAGTTCATTCTAAGGAGGTTGGCCAGGGCTTCACCAGTGGGAGTGGTGCCCCAGCTGGTGGCCCTGCATGAGACAGTTTCAACGAAACAAGCCTTCAAGTATCTCAGCTAGCAGAAGGTATCTGCATTAGCCCATTGAAGTAAGCACAACAAAGGATCATGTGGCATCTTAACAGCTTTCTAGCACAAGCTTTCAAGGACCGTCTGATGAGTTGACTATAGTCTGCAAAAACACATACCTGGCAGCAGTTTACAGGCATATACGTTCCTGATGCCAAAAAGAGGAACCAGTCATCAATGATGCCAAAAAGAGGAACTAGACATCAGTGCATGTTTGCCTGCACCATCGTTGTTTTCATGGATCTGCTTTTTCTCAGCTGAGTTTATGGCATGTCGATAAAGGAGCCTCCCATGGGATGGTTTGGTGCATTTGTACAAGGATAGGAATGCGCATTCAAATAAGAGTAACTGTGAGCCAACATAGTCATTACTTTAGATCTCTTTGGAGCAGCTAAGCCTTGTTTCCTTTGTACTTTGTACTGTGTTCCTTTGCCTACCTTCTATGCTAGGGTGCAGAGAGACTGGCACCCTAGCATAGAAGGTAAAGGAACTTGTATGATTTAGAGTGGAACCTTTTACTCTTCAGCAGGGGTAGGCAACTGGTAGCCATCCAGGTATTTTGGGATTTGTAAGCTAAACATCTGGAAGGCCAGAAGTTGCCCATCTCAGCTCAGGAAATGAAAAATTAACATCCGTTTTGGCCTTGATTAGTCGGTGGCTGGGTGGGTTCCTTGGCTGCATGGATCAGATCAGCTATTCTGATATTCTCCTGATATGCTAAGCTGACTACTGAGGAGTGTCAGGTGCTTTGTGCATAGCAGCTTTTGGGGTTGTGCATTCATGTAAATAATGCATCCTGCCACTGCAGTGAATGTCAGATGTAAGACAATTTGGTCATTAGGAATCTTGGCAGAATCACCTGCTTCCAAGAAAGACTCCCTGACCGGGATACAATCTCAGGAATTGAGTTCCTGCAGCTACCACTCCAGACCACACCTTATCAAAGAGAGCAGATCCTGGCATTTGGCCATGCAGCCATCATGTACGAGCCTGATGTACCCAGTTAGAAGACTTTGCATAGAAAGAAGAAGATCCTGGCATTTTGCTTTTCCTATGAATCAGGAAGTTCCCTGTTTGACCATCACTCATTGGGTGCCTTTCAGAAAGCCTGTCTCTAAGAGTGTTCAGACACATCTTTTCTGGCTTAACCTTATGCTTAGCTTCTCCAGCACCAATACACCCATGAACAACTCTCACAGTTTCAACCAGGCTTCATGCCCCTCCTGGTCTATATTTTATTTCTCAAGATTTTTAAAATTAAAGCCATTTAGGGAGGGGAACTGGGAGGCTGGCTTGCTGTAAAGCAAAGTGCTGCTTTCCAGTGCTAGGTTGGTGGGAGTGCATAAAAGTAGTTTTGTGTTTTGGAGCTCAAGCTTCCACTTTGTGTTTCGATTCTTGGGCAATTCATGCTTCTCTTGGTTTCACGTATTTGATTTCTGGAAAAGGGTGTTTTTGTGAAGTCATGCTCAGCATTTTATAGTTGGACACACTCTCCCTGGCAGCAGTTTTGTGAAAACATCCACAGCATGCTTCCTGAATATGCCCCCCAGCTTTGAAAGGTTGAGGATCACTGATCTAAGTGCATCTGCAATTCCCATCTCTGTCTCCTGTACCCACGTCTCTCTGCCATCCATGTGTTTGACAGAGAGGTGAACACACACACGCCTTCTTCCCTTCACCTCCATGTGAGCAGGAATTCTGGGAGGCTGTGATTCTCTCTTGCAGGGAGGAGGCTGACCCTGTATAGCAGGGGTCTCAAACTCAACTTACCTGGGGGGCTGCTGGAAGTAGAGTCTGGGTGAGGCTGGGCCGCATCAAGTATTCCAGCACTGTGGTGGGGGTGGGCCGCTCATCCCATGTCGCTCCCGGAGGCCGGCCCGGGCACCGCCAGCGCTTTGAAGGCCGCAGGGCCCCTCCCCCGTGCCCCGTCCATCCCGGCAATTGGCCCGCGGGCCGCACGTTTGAGACCCCTGCTGTATAGGGTCCCTCCGTGCTTCCACTGTATGTATGGTTAGCAAGCACATGGGCTTGACTGGCAGGGGTATCAACATTTCACACTGTGGGTATGGTCCACTGTCACATGTTCAGTGGTTTCTGTTTCAGTGCTTAATTCATGGCCAAAAGACAGATGACATTTGATGCTGTGAGGTTTTTTTTCTTTTTGCAAGTTTTTTTTTTTCAAGAAATCTGGCATTTGGAGATGGCAAAGGGATTTTTTAACCTTCCTCTACCAGTCAGTTGTAGAGAAACCATTTGCTTTCCCTACAGCAGGAAGAAATAGTGTGATTGTTGAAGCTTTGTGTGTGATTTTAGAGGAAGGGCGGGGAATCCACCTCAAGTTCCTTCCTCCTTCCATTCCTCCTCCATCCTGACCCTGCAGTTTCACATTCCTGTCTTCTGTGGGGCTGTTTCTTGTGGCAAAAAGTACCATTACCTTTCCTGGAACTACGTACAGAGCAGTATCCATCAGAGCTGCTCCGCCTGCAATCTGCCTTGCACTCATGGGACCCACTGCTTGTGCAATGGGGCATGTACCCTTCTACAGATAATCTTGGAAATGAACAGAAGCACTCATTGCTAGTTTGAGGCAAGCCAGCAGAGCTTCCTTCTGTGAGCTCCACTGTCCTTCCTGATTCTGGAAACAAATGCTGATTTCAGCTTAGTTTTTTTTATTTTATTTTTTATTTTTCAATTTATACCCTGCCTTTTTCCTACAAAGGGCTCAAGGCAGCTTACATCATTCTCCTCCTCCATCTTATCCCCACAACAACAACCCTGTGAGGTAGGTTGGGCTGAGAGTCTGTGACTGGCCCAAAGTCACCCAGTTGGTTCCATGGCTGAGCGGGGACTAGAACCCAGATTGTCTGAGTCCCAGTCTCATGCTCTTAACCACTACACCAGACGCCCCGCTGCCCACTCATACAGTAGGATCTGTGATGTGTAATTGCGGCCTCTGCCCATCTCCTGTTGCAGTTTAGCATAATA